CCATTGGCTTTTTCAGCTGCTGCATCACACGCTTGGCTCATGTTCGCCTGTGAGAGCCCAGAGAGAGGAGAGATCTGTGGCTTGGAAGGAAAGGCAGGCGGAAGGGAGAATGGCAGAGAGGGGCGGGAGGATGTATCATGTCAATTCCCTGTTAAGATCAAAATAAGAATTAAAAAGGGGAGGGGGAGATGACTGATAAAGGTGAGATCCCTCTTCGCATCATCAAGACAAAAAGGGAGTTTCCAAGAAGGGAGGGTCGGGACTCGTCATGCCTTGCGGTGTTGGTAACGACAGCCTTCATGACTGATAAAGGTGAGATCCCTCTTCCCATCATCAAGGCAAAAAGGGTCACAAGATGGGAGGATCTTTAAGCCTTCTCTAGTAATGTTTATCTATGATCCTGTTGCTTCCTGTTTCCTGTATGTATGTTCTGGTATGCAGCTTCCTAAACAGATGTAGCATACTTTATTTAAAAAAAAAACAATTTTATTCAAAGACAAAAAACAAAACAAAACATGTTTACACAAATTACAATTTTGGTATTTAATGTTTTTTGCACAAATTATAATTTTGGTACTTTAAAAAAAGTACTACGTAACAAATGTAAAGTGAAGGACACACACCTTGCACAGTAAGAGCAAAACTAACAGACAACAAACACTAGTCTATGAACCTCTCACTCACTATATGATTTTTATCTCTGTTCCTTTAAATGCTGTTCTATACTTCATCAATTTAGTTAATTTGTTCATCTCGACTGATGGACGTGAATCTTCACCAGCCGTTGTCACCATTCTTTGTCTTCCATTCTCTGCAGTTAGGGAGATGTGCTGTGCATCCTAATGGACCCTTTGCCAAAAGGTGGGGATTAAGCAGTATAAAATATAATGCAACAGATATCTATGTATCAATGTAGAAGTGTTAAGTTGTTGAATAACTAAACCAATTATAACACTGATATCATATACAGTCAGAGTATTATTGTACCAGTACCATGGGCAAAATCTATAGAAACATCAGTTATTCAATCAAGAAAAACATCCATAATAAACATTTTCAAGTGTGAGCAAAAACCCATGGAGAAGTCTCCCCTTATAAAGATATAGAAAAGGAAAAAAATTTGGAAACCATTTTACGAGATCGGCGATTCTAAAAATTTGGGAGAAATATAAGAAGAAACTTTACAGTAAAACACCTCTCTGGCTATCGCCATTAGAAGCGGGTCAGAGAAGGTGTATGGGATGGAATGAGTAGCCAATTTATAAGGAAATACTGAAAAAAGAGCAAGGAGAATTAATACTAAAAGCACAATATGAGCCAAATACTATAGACCAGAAAGCCTCCTGGCTACAATATTGGCAAATTAAGGAGAAATATAAACTAGATAAAAAATTAGTTTTTACACAACAAAAAAACTTTTGGGATAAAATTATGGAGACAGAGACTAAACTAATAACAATGATATATAAAAAATTAATACAGGGGTCTATGGAGTCAAAAGAAGAAAAAAATTACATGAAAAGATGGAACAAAAATATAGGAAAAAATATAAAAAAAGAAGAGTGGAAGGAAATTTGGAAGAAGAGAATAAAATTTACATACGCATCAGACCTGAAAGAAAATTGGGTCAAGATATCACAAAGATGGTATATGACTCCGAAAAAATTGGGGAAAATCTACAATAATTCAAGCACAACCTGCTGGAAATGTAAAGTAAAAGAAGGCTCTTATTACCACATGTGACAGAGCAAAAGAATATTGGAAGAAAATACAAAAAGAGATTCAAATTATGTTAAAAATACAAATACCATGGAAGTCAGAATTATTCTTATTAGGAATATATGATAAAAACTTAGAAAAAAACGCAGACAAAATCTTATTCTTAATCCTAACAGCAGCCAGAAAATGCTTCGCAAAAAAAAATGAAAGCAAGAAAAATGATTGGCTAATAAAAATTTTAGAAATTAGAAATATGGACAGGCTCACCTTTCTATTGCTGAAAAATAAAGAACCAAGAAGGAAAGAAACAGACTGGAAAGAAGTTACTGAATACCTGAGAAAAAAGAAGATAGAGATTGTGACTTGAAGTTGACAACAAAAGAATGAAACACAATGAGAGAAAGGAAAGAAGGAAAAGAAAAAGAAGAGAAAGCAAATTATAAGATGGTTATATAGAAGACTTCTAAAAGATACCAGGAGGTCTTCTTAATATATATATAGATACATAAATATATATGTGTATGTGTGTATATATATATATATATATAATTTCTCACCTTTTTTTCTCTTTCTTTCTCTTTTCCATTCACCCCTACCTCTACGATTTTCATCAATATTTCACATTATTCATTTACACTCACCTGTTTTTTTTTTGTTTTTTTCTTTCATCATCACGATTTTATAAAACTTGTATTTTTATGAAAATTTCAATAAAGATTATTTAAAAAAAATTAAAATACAGGTCAATTACAAAAAACAAGAGCGATCTAATCGTTTAACCCACCTGGGGAAATGGTATATAACCTGAATATCCAAAAGGCCTCCCTCTGACATAAAATTCTTTTAAAGTCTTGATGGGGTTGTGTGGTTAGCTTTTTTAAAAAGCGCAGAATCTGAAGCTAGTGTGTGTGTGGGATTTCTCACTGAAATGGGGAATAAAGAGTAGTCTCAATGGCTTTATTTCTAATGCAGGATCTATGTTCAGGAATTCTAATTTTTAAAAGTCTGGAGGTCATGCCTACATATAGCAGTGAACATGGACATTGTATGACATAGATCACTTTCTCTGTATTGCAGTTGGTGAAATTACAAAGTTGTAAGTTGAGTTGCATTGTGTAGTGCACAATGCCCACAACTCGTGTGGCCCCTAAGATTAGATTTGCTGATAGTATAGGGGGTTGTGAAGTCAGATCTGATCATCATATCCCTAAGATTCTGGGTTCGTTTGTTGGCTATCATTGGTACATTCTTGCATTCTGGAGTGTCACTGACCAAGTGTCAGTGCTTTCTAATTATTTTCCTGATGTGTGGAAAATATGTGGTTAACCTAAGTGGCCATATAATATGGTCATTAGGTTTCCTAATCAAATCGCTTAGTAAATCATTTCTATCTGTGGACTTAACTTTTCTAATAGCAGTATTGATGATACTTGTGGGGTGCCCTTTTTCTTTGAAATGTTTCTCAAAAGTAATGACCTCTGGTGTGACCTCCTCGGGGGCAGTGGTGTTTTCGTTTTAATCTCATAAGTGTGGCATAGGGTAAGTTGATTTTTAAACTATGATGGTGGTTTACCCCTCAGCTGGCACAATGGTTTAACCCATTGCACCAGTCCTGCTAAAATAATACAATTGCAGCAACACAGTCGGAGTAACAATGAAGACAAGTTAATTAAGGTCAGGAGTCCAATTGTAGAGCACTGCAGATCCAGGTCAGGAGCAAGAAGAAAGGTTACAGTCCAAGAGTCACATGCCAGGAGTTTATTCAACAGAGCTGATAAAATAATAAGCAGGAAATCAAGAGTACAAACCGAATTCAGAGTCCCAAAGTCAAGCCAGAAAGTCAGGGATAGAAAGAAAGTCCTGGTTCAAAAATGAAACCAGAAGTCAGTCCAGAATTTATAATCAACTATTCAGGATACAACAAATTCCAGAAAAGGGTGACAGGTATATGACTAGAGCTCAAAATTCTAACCGAGGGGCAACAGAGCCAAGACGTGAGACCAGGCTATGAAGATATGACATTATCTGCTACCAAAGAGCTATCCTTTTTCAGAACACTTTTATCTAAAGATCTCAGCTGCTGCTCCTTTCAGCAAACCTTCACAGATCATCCTAGACGCCTATGAAGGGGTTCTTATGGTGGAGGCTAGGTGAACCCCTTCGGAGCTTGCTGCAATACGGAGAAAAATCCCCTTCTCAGTGAGACCTACTCTCAGCAGCCGCAGACCAAGGCCTCACAAACTGTAGATCAGGGGTCCTCAAACTAAGGCCCGGGGGCCGGATACGGCCCTCCAAGATCATTTACCCGGCCCTCGCTCAGGGTCAACCTAAGTCTGAAATGACTTGAAAGCAAACAACAACAATCCTATCTCATCAGCCAAAAGCAGGCCAACACTTCCCATTGAAATACTAATAAGTTTATATTTGTTAAAATTGTTCTTCATTTTAATTATTGTATGATTTTAAGTGTTTTGCACTACAAATAAGGTATGTCCAGTGTGCATAGGAATTCATTCATTTTTAAAAAAATATATAATCTGGCCCTCCAACAGTTTGGGGACTGTGACCTGGGACTCTGTTTAAGAAGTTTGAGGACCCCTGCTGTAGATCATGGTAGAGAGAGAGAGCCAGGTGCCGGCCTTCCTCTTTCCTTCCAATATTTTTTGAAAGAGAGCTCAGAAATTGAAAAGCAGGTCTCTTCTAGCTGTGCATGAGTTCCAATATGTTTAATGTATGCTGAACATTCTCTACAGCTCTTTCCACATTCCGTGCATTTAAATGGCTTCTCCACTATGTGGCTCCTTCAGAAGGAATCTAGATAGTTAATCTGACTGAAACTTTCTCCACATTCTATGCATTTCTATGGCTTCTGTACTGTGTGAGTCATTTGGTAGGTAGGCAGATTTTAACTCTGACTGAAGATATTTCCACATTCCATGGAGTTATGTGGCTTTTCCCCTGTGTGGGTCCTTTGATGGGAACATAGAGTGTCTCTGCGACTGAAGCTTTCTCCACATTCCATGCATTTATGTGGCTTCCCCCTATGTGCTTCCTTTGATGGGAACGTAGATGTCCACTCTGAGTGAAGCTTTCTCCACATTCCATGCATTTATGTGGCTTCTCCCCTGTGTGGATCCTTTGATGGGAACGTAGAGTGCCACTCTGACTGAAGCTTTCTCCACATTCCATGCATTTATGTGGCTTCTCCCCTGTGTGGATCCTTTGATGGGAACGTAGATGGCCACTCTGACTGAAGCTTTCTCCACATTCCATGCATTTATGTGGCTTCTCCCCTGTGTGGATCCTTTGATGGGAACGTAGAGTGCCACTCTGACTGAAGCTTTCTCCACATTCCATGCATTTATGTGGCCTCTCCCCTGTGTGGGTCCTTTGATGGATACGCAGACTTGAACTGTGACTGAAGCTCTTTCCACATTCCATGCAGTTATGTGGCTTCTCCCCTGTGTGGATCCTTTGATGGGAACGTAGACTGTCACTGCGACTGAAGCTTTCTCCACATTCTCTGCATTTATGTGGCTTCTCCCCTGTGTGGGTCCTTTGATGGGAACGCAGATGTCCACTCTCACTGAAGCTCTTTCCACATTCAATGCATTTATGTGGTTTCTCCCCTGTATGGGTCCTTTGATGAATACGCAGATGTTCACTCTGACTGAAGCTCTTTCCACATTCCATGCATTTATATGGCTTCTCCTCTGTGTGCCTTTGATGGGAATGTAGAGTGCCACTCTCACTGAAGCTTTCTCCACATTCCATGCATTTATGTGGCCTTTCCCCTGTGTGGGCCCTTTGATGGATACGCAGACTTGAACTGTGACTGAAGCTCTTTCCACATTCCATGCAGTTATGTGGCTTTTCCCCTGTGTGGATCCTTTGATGGGAATGTAGACCGTCACTGCGACTGAAGCTTTCTCCACATTCCAAGCATTTATAAGGCTTCTCCCCTGTGTGGGTCCTTTGATGGGTACGCAGTCTGTTATGTTGACTGAAGTTCTTTCCACATTCCATGCATGTATATGGCTTCTCCCCAGTGTGGGTCCTAAGATGGGAATGTAGAGTGCCACTCTCACTGAAGCTTTCTCCACATTCCATGCATTTATGTGGCCTTTCCCCTGTGTGGGCCCTTTGATGGATACGCAGACTTGAACTGTGACTGAAGCTCTTTCCACATTCCATGCAGTTATGTGGCTTTTCCCCTGTGTGGATCCTTTGATGGGAACGTAGA